AGGACATGTCGAACCGCTCAAACAAAATACTAATGTTTTGATAGCACCGCAGAGCTACAGTGTTTGCACTCTTTGTGAAGTCAATATGAATGGTTTACTTATAGTTCCCTCTGCAGATTAATTTGGAATAGCGAAGTATTTAACCCTTGTGCCTAAAAAGTTAAAAAAAGTTACACATGGCTCCATAGAGGACAAAAATGTCCACGTCAAAAAACTGTCATAAAAGCTTGGGAGCACAGACTTAAGTTTGGTATCATTTTAAAGAAGACCCTTGGCAGATTATTGCTGAAGTAAAAAACAATGAATAAGTCAATCCAAAAAAAAGTTATATAGGTTTAAGTTTATGAAAATTATTTATGAACATTATTTTATATAAAATATATATTTTATAAAACAAGTTGAACTCAAAAACGGCTAGAAAATCAAAGCCATTAATATAAATAAGTTGTGTTCCACATTTGAGGTTGATATCTCAAAAAATGAGCTTTCAGTAAGATTTTGTTTGGGCGCAGTAACAGATTATAGAGCCAATTGGATGCCCCATTGGATTCCCCAGTGGATCCCATGCAGCAAAACTCCACTGGTGCACACAGTGATTGGATTTTAGATTTGCAGTTGAGTTTTTCCTTTCTCAATATTACAAACACACACATGCACACACACACACATATATATATATATATATATATATATTTTTTTTTTATAACACACATACCAACCACACTCTGACATCCATACATTACCAACACACCCACACAAATATCGTTGCATAATTTATCCAATTGGCTCTATATGCCGAAGCAGAAAACAGGAATAAAGCGAGAATTTGCTTTATAGACCAAACCTGAAAAAATGGCACCATCTGATCAATTTTGAAGCCTTGCCAACAGAATGAAAGCCTCTTAACAAAGATTGCATAATTTTATAGTTAAATGGCCCTGGGATAAAAAAAAAGCAGTTTCAATGGGAGGGAGAGGGAGTATTTTGTGTACCTAGTGCAAAAAAGATTTTTTTTTAAGGAAATAGCGGTGAAATAGTAAAATTACAATAAAAATACACACCAGTTAGCATTAACACAGGCAAAGTGATCAAAAAAACAAAACTGAAAAGGCCAAAAATGGGGGCACAAGGGATAGTTAAATACCTAAAGAAAATTCCTTCATCATTTACTCACTTTCATGTCATTCCAAACCTGTCTGATTTTCTTCTGCAGAAAGCATTACATAGTATTTTGATGAATGTTTCAACAGTTTTGTCCATATAATGAAAGTCATTTGGGGTCCAAAACAACATGACATTTTTAAAATGATCTTCTTTTGCATTTTCACAGTAGACCGAAAGTCATACAAGCCAAAACAAACAAAGAGGGTGAGTAAAAGATGACAGCATTTTCAAGTCAAGTCAATTTTATTTGTAAAGTTTCAAAGCAAAATCATGATATTAATGTTTATAATATCTTAACATGGTAGCATTTAGCAAGTTAGCGTGGGGCGATAATATCTTTATATTTAGAATTATCCCTTAAACATAGAAAAATAACTTTTCCATTGTCTGAGGTTTATATTAGAAATGATGTATTACCACTAAGTAATGGTCACTTAATCTTATCATCTCCTTTCCTTCTTTTTCTTTCCCTCCCTTTTTGCCATCATTTTCTCCATGCTCGGAATGACCCAAATTCATGTACCTAAACTCTTTTAGCCCTACATGGTCAGTGTCTTTTTGATCAAGCTCACTTTTGATATTAAAACCTGCCACAGAGCCTAGGGACTGCTAAAATATGGACCCACCACACACAGATCCGACATTGTATGGTTTATGTTTGACATGGCAGGCTGGCACAATTTATGTAGGTGTTAATATGGGCAGACCAGAAATGTGGCAGACGTCTCCAGTGATCTCATATGTTCCAGTCTCTGGCTCCTTCGTTAGTACTGGAGTGAGAATGACTGTTTATGTCTCATTCTGAAGACAGTTAATCCAGTTTACACAGATGGCAAAATGATTCACATTTTGGATATTGAGCTTTCCACATTAAAATGAATGAAACTGGCCAGAGGCTCTTTTGGTTTATATAAGTCATAGTTTTGGAGTTAATAATGCCAAATCTTTTACACTATAGTAAGTTTTGCTTCCAGAGTACTGTCCAAAAACACAGTGAATGAGCAGTTGTGGACTTCCAGTCATTTGTGTTGCATATCTTCTGTTTGTTCCCTTCATTTTCCATTACAGCTGGTCTATTAGCAGTCCAGCTGATTAGCATGTACCCGCTCAGCCTGGCATGCTGGTACAAGAGGCCGTGGGAGAGAGAGATCTGGTGAACTTGGCATCTCCTTCTGTGGTATTTATGTCAATAGATAAGTGCTCTGGACTCTGGCATTCATCGAACTCCCAGAGACTTGTTCTACATGTCTACATTGAAAGGCACCAAATAAAGGGTTTTAGTAAAGCTGTCCACAATCATCTGAGACATATGTTAGTATCTTACAAAATTCCAAAAATGCTCTTATTCTTCAACTGTTTATTGAACCCTAAGATGTTCCATGGGTGCTCATATTTGGAAAAAAAATGTCAGTAAGAACAGTAGTTTTTCCCTCAGTAAAAAAAGAATAAAAAAATGAATGGCATATCGTACACTCACATGCATGTAGGATTCCAATGGTCATCATGGAACACCTGGAAATGTCAGAGAATTGGATTATTGTGTTGTATAGTAGTTTACATCTGAGATGTAGGCGTATCAGCTATCGCCACACAAACAAAAAAAATTGTCATGTAGTAACTACTTACATTAACATTGATGCAGGCATGACGTAAACTTGATGAACAATTAAACAATGTGTTTTATTCAAAAAAAGGTCTCTACCAGGCATCTGTGGAACTAGCTCTTCATTCCCGTTGAGAACAGCCACATCACAGAACGTTCATTAAATTAGAGCATTTCGGGTTTATTGATAGAGCCTGCTCCATTTGGGTCATTAAAAATAGCTGTTGAGGAGAGAGTGAGAGGAGAGAGGTGTGTGAAATAGGCCACTTTGTTTTTCTCTTCTGTGATAAGAGTGTGTAAATTGTCATGATGGGGGGAAATGCGGATGACCCAGGCTATCATATGCTCACCGTGACAGATATAATGGTCTACTTTGATAACTGCAAGAAGGTAGGCCTTAATATGAATATGGGTTATCAAAAAAAAAGTTATTTTAGTTCAAAGAGGAAGAATGGTGCATGCTTTCTTTAAGGTGGCTGTCTCTATCATGCTCCTTTTAGGTGCGTATGCACAATTTTATGCAGAGAGTGAATAGATTTTGTTTAGTAAAATGGATTATTATTTCCTGTTGATGCAAATCATAGTACATGCACATGACATCCACATCAGGACCGAGCAGCAGTGATGGGTGTGTGTACGATCAGCAGTTAGTTCTGTTAATACTGCAGGAAGGGTGTGATCAGGCTCGATTGTAAATGACTCAGCCCTCTAACTTCCTGCTATGGTCAAAAAAGGCATAGTTTTGGTTACCCTGTTAGTCCCACAGTCATAGAGTGCATTTATTCCTGCATGTTTTCAGAAGACTCTATTACTCTTGATGTTTAGTCTGTTTCTTTTTTTTTTTTCAAGTGAAATATTATTCAACATTTTTAGCAGAGTCAAAGCCATGTTGGGTGGTAATGCTGCTGTTATTTTAAAGCATGTATGAATAGATGTATTGTTGTGCTCGTGGAAAATGTGTGTTGACTGAGAACCTGTTATAAACATGTTTAGACAGCTGCTTAATTGCTGGGGTTTGCTTTGGTAACTTCTCCCTAGCAGTTTATCTACATAATTATCTGCCTTCATTACAACCGTACTGACTAAAATAACACATTTCCTGTTTACAAAGTAGTGATTTTAGATATAAAAGAGAGATGTTTTTAAAATTTAGGACATTTAATTCTGATGTTGCTGCACAGCACCGTCATTTAATTAAGTGAAATGGTTTTGTAAAGTATCATTAAGGATGTGAAAGGTTACAATATCAGTTTGTTTGTCCTTAAAAACAAAATTAGAGACATCATTTTCTGTTAGAACTACTAGTACTAGAACTACAGTCGAAACTGTGGAAATATTTATTTTGGATACATTTTTTTTTTTCATCGTTGTTGGCAAAGGGACGCAAGACCTTTTGTGGTGAGAAACAGCTGCTTCCTTGGAAAGTTGCTCGACTCCGTTCAGGACGGAAGGCCTCAGTCTGAGACATTAAGATATGATCTGACATTTACTCGGGAACACGTCATTATGCATTTCTCCATCGGCAAACAAACACAGGAAATCATTTTAAAGCTTTGCATGCATCCCTTCAAGTAGTAATTTCACTATTTTAACCCCTATTCTTTAAATCATACATATTTTGCTGCTTTTTCAGGAATGTGTTGTGGAACTGGTGCAAAACTGGGAATGTTACAGTCACGGCTCTGGTGTAAAGATTATTTGTAGCATGGGATTGTGTGGAAGAGTAGGTGGAGTTAAGGTAGAGACATCCCTATGTGAGGGTGTCTGTGATGTAATACTGTTGAGGTTTCTTCTTTTTTTTCTGGTTGTTGCACATTTTGTGGCGTCATCTACAGGAAGGAAGTGTGCATGTTCTCTCTCTCCCCCTCATGCCTGAAAGGGAGTCTTTTCCTTAAAAGGACTTTCAAAGTGATTGACTAAAGTCACAAATACACGCATGCGTACTCATGTAAACAAACACATTCATAGCATGTGCCATCTGAGGAGTATGCAGTTACAGTACATGAAACATTATGACAGTGAGGTACACAAACATATTCATGTAATCACATATGACATTATATTTCCTGTGATCCTCCTGTTAATTTCTTTTATTTTTTAAGTTTAGTAGTGCAAAGCTTTTATGTGTTTGTTTTGTGTTTTTTGCATTTACTACATTGCTCATGCTCTCATGGTCATGGTTTAATGAAATTCCCCCTCTCTCTTTTTCTTTTCCCCCACCCGCCCCCTGCAGGCTGAAGCCCGTTTGGCAGCTAAGAGAGCAGCCCGCGCAGAAGCTCGTGAGATCAGAATGAGAGAACTGGAGAGACAACAGAAAGAGGTAAAGAAACACAATCACTGTGAGCTTAATCTCGGGTTGAAATTTAGCCTTAGTTTTGCTAAATGATTTGTCAAAATATGGTTGGTATCAACTTTTATGTACATATTGTTACAATCTATCCATCTTATTATCTATCTTATCTATCTATCTTTATAGTACTTAGATCTGATCTCATTATAAATCAAATATATGTAGAAATATTTAAAAAAGGGGTTCGGCAAATATTCTAGCATGACAGTGCTGTTCCAGCACCTAGATTTGTTTTAGGTGCCCACCAGCAAATCCCATCCCTTTGGTCTTACCTGCTTAACTCCTTCCTGTGCGTACGGTGGATATGTCCCCTTTGACTGGTGTAATAATCATCACACTTACGAACAGTTTAAGCACTGAAAGCATCTCAAAAACAAATAATCTGCATTTCACAATGTTGAAACACAGGAGGAGACCTTTCCAACAGCGTTCAAGAGTGTGTTGAGCTGTAGGCCTTTAAAATTTCAAGGTTTTTTTTTTCTTCTATTGAACTACCAGCAGAAAACGCCACCTTTATTCTCAAAATTAAATCTTTCCCATGGTCTTGTTGACTTGCTTCTGTACAACGCTGTCAGCCGATTATGTTCAATTTGTTTAATCTTCATCATGATTGTGGGCTCTGTGCTTTGAAGGACATGTTTTGGCTGGGTTAACAGGGATCAGGGTCAGTTAATCACCCCTTGGGTCAGGACCTCCTAAGAGGCCATTTGAACCTGCTACATTGGAACTTCAGCCTCAGCTAATGCTCAGAAATATCAGTTATATCATGAGCAGTTTGGTGTTTTTACATAGATTGCTTTTTTTTTTTTCCAGTGTTGCTTAAGACCGCATTTACTTTTTGCATTGAAAAAAGAAGACCTTTTTCAAAATATCTTTTTGACATAAGTAAATGATGGCCGAATTTAAATTTTTGGGTAAACTATCCTTTTAAGGTCTATTGACAGCAATTGAAAATGAACAGTAACATGTAATTGATTTATTTGGATTAGGTTGTCTGACGAATTTGTTCAAATAGCATTAGCATTCATGAAAAAGCCTGGTCTGTAGTCTTTATGCTTATTTTGGTGTAGCACCCTGCAGCTTTACTGCAGGTTTTGTACTTTACCCCAGTTACATTACAGTTACTGTAAGTCTTTACAAACATACTTTATAGATGTTTTTGAGTTACTCATTTGATTTGTCAGGCTTTTTGAACTGTAATAGTACATTGTCTGAACATTCCTCATTGTAAAGGGAGCTGGATTTTAAGAAAGGTTTGCTTCCAATAGGTATATGGTTGATTCTGTGTAATTAGTAATTTAATGCACTATGACTGCTCATGCTGGTTTGCTACAGCCGACTCCACACACTGGTATGTATGGCATGGGTTAAGTAGCACAAATACAAACAAATTGTAGATATTTAGGGACATTTGATTAGGTTCATATGAATGAACTGTTGCTCAGGGTCCGTCTAGAGGTGAATGGAAAACCAGAAACTCACACTGTGAGCTCAGACGCAACAAACTTATGTAATGAAGGTAAACACAGCCTTCACACAGACCTGGGTCACACTTGAAAGATTAGCTAGTATTCAGAGTTAAGCCCGGTCTGATCAGGAGGTGTGTGAGAATGTTAAGGGTGTGCGCTTAGTGGCTTTAAAACTCCAGCCAAGTATTAAAGTAGATTATGAGCTTTCAGCCGTACCTGCAGCAGGATAACAGGCTCAGTTCCCATTCACTATCTGGGATGTGATCATTATGGTAATTAGGAACACAATGACTCAAGATTGAACATGCTGTGACAAAATAGATCTGGAAGAGTTCAATCAGGACTTTGTGAAGATGAACTTGTAGCGCAAACAGGCTGTGGGGTTTGGATTATATGACAGACTATATCTTTGGGATCATATAAAGTCTCTGTCTTCCTCAGTCTTGAGGTAGACGGGGACACTGTGATACTAGTAGGACGGCTTGCAAGCGACTAGTGCGTAGAGGGGCTAGGGAAGTGATCGATGGGCGACCCCAGACCCCTGTGCTGAGGAAGGTGAGCTTGAATTTACTAGATTAGCATTGGAAAGATGAGAAATGTTTTCTTTTGTGCCTAATGGAGTACACTTACACATTTTCTTATCATATCCTGACACTTTCTTTGTTTCTTTGTTTTGTGAGAGTGCAGAGTTTTGCAGAAACAAATGAGCACTGATGTTGTGGTAAAGTCTCTAATTAAAGATTACTCCAAGGAAAAGATTTTGTTACAGGAATGTTGTGTTAAACACTCGAGCAAATACATAATGGGAAACCAGTTGGGTGAGATTCTGTAGGTTTTTCAGTAAGTGAGAATGAAAGTGTATAGTAAACAGAAGTTCAGTAGAATATTAGACAATAAGATAATCAGATTAAAATTATTGATTTTTTATATATATATATATATATATATATATATATATATATATATATATATATATATATATATATATATATATATATATATATATTATTAAAATTCTTATCACAAACTGTTAAAGAGAATGTATTGTTCTATCAAGAAATGAATGGAAGAATAGCCTGCTTTTGAATAGCATAGGCTTAAAAAACTATTTACAATGTTTAGTTGTGTCATTTGCAGGAGGGTTACTGTGGGGACCAGACCATGTTGTTAGTAGTTTTTAAAGTAGCTTTAAAACCCCAATCTTCAGCTTTTCTGCTGATGTTATGATTACTTGGGAAAAAAATATGGCCAAGAACAAATATGAAAATGTGTTATTTTAAACGCACCACTGCTTTACTAGTCTAGTGCTGTTCATTGGTTTGGTCACTAGTGGACTGAATGAAACCTTAAAGATCAGTGGAAAGAATCCTGTTACCCCATAGACCTAATCACATGACCATCTGAACAGTTGCATAGCATAATTCCGATGCTTTTATTAACTTGCAGTGTGATTCTTAAAATTCCTGACTGATAATTCTATCTCATCTGTGATGCCTTTGAATTTTGCTGCTTGTTGATCCACATGACCTTCATGCATTTGAGTTACTGTAAACTGGTGTTTTTCACTTTCACCTGTTAGGCCAAGTAATATGACACCAGGTCCTGCCTGATGGATCGCTAAAAATTTAACAGCTTTCACTTCCCATTACATTATCTTTTGTGTACACAATCTTCCACTTGGTTCTCTCTCTGTCATGTCAAATAATCAATGCCTCTCTTTTTCCCTTTCTTTCCCAATCTGGCTTCTTTCTTTCCTTTGCTCATCTGATCCTCTTTTGCTGGCCTCCTGTGATGTAGATTTATCAGGTGCAGAAGGTAGGACATCTAATGCTGTAGATACTCTAATATTTTGATTCCTTTCCTTCTGTTCTTGCTTATTTAGCTGTTTCTGTCATATTTTGTGAAGTCTAATGTAATTACTTTCAGGTCATTCTTGTTAGCTGAAGTTCTTTTTCTTTCCTGGTTTCTGTTGGATTTCTCATTTTAGAAATACTATGGACTGGATAACCTGGACAACAAATGGGGGGACATTGAGCAGTGGATGGTACATTCATTGTTGGGATTTTGTGCATGTTTCAGGCCTCTAGTTTTATCAGCATTTGATTTTTGCATGATATATGATCCATTGCGATACAGGATGCATTCATGTTTTATCTGTTAATAATTAAGAGAGTCAGCACAGGGTTATTTGTCTCATAACACTAGGTCAATACCTCTACAAGGCTGATTTGCACTTTCAACAAGTGAAATCAGCCTTTATCTGTGTTTAATGGCACTGTAGGTACTTTTATGTACACTACTGTTTGTTGTGAACATAGTCTTTTATGCTTACCAAGGCTGCATTTATTTGATTAAGAAAATATAGTAAAACTATTTTCTATTTCAATATATTTTAAAACATTGTTTATTCCTGCGATGGCACAGCTGAATTTTCAGCATCATTACCCCAGTCTTGAGTGTCACATGATCCTGATTCTAATATGCTGATTTGATGCAAAAAAAATAATCTTTTCTTATTATTATCCATGTTAAAAACAGTTGTGTGGCTTAATATTTTTGTGGAAACGATACTTTTTTCAGAATTCTTTGACAAACAGAAAGGTCAAAACAACAACATTTATTTAAAAAATCTTTTGTAACGTTATAAATGTCTTTACTTTAACTTTGTATCAACTTAATGCATCCTTGATGATTAAAAGTATTAATAACTTTAATTAATTAATTACTAAAAAATCTTACTTACCCCAAACTTTTGAACGGCAATGTGAGTGTATGGTTTTCACACTATTTTACAAAAAAACAATAACAACTGTGTACAATTAATAGTGTGGGTTGTGTTTTGTATTGTCTTGAGTTGTCTGTTTTTAAAAGAGATTGCTCTTGCATCAATTATTACTGATTTGCATACTTCCATTGCTCACCTTGCTTGCTGAGTGTTGTGTATTTGTCTCTTCTGCCATCTTGAATCTTCTCTTCTCTTCTCTTCTCTTCTCTTCTCTTCTCTTCTCTTCTCTTCTCTTCTCTTCTCTTCTCTTCTCTTCTCTTCTCTTCTCTTCTCTTCTCTTCTCTTCTCTTCTCTTCTCAGGAGGATAGTGAGCGATATACACGTGTCTCACGGAGACATGCTTCGGTTTGTATTAATGTCTTTTCACTGTCTGTCCTCCTCAAACTTACTTCCATGCACACTTCAAGCAAAACATTTCTTTAAACACTTGACACTTTAAACACTTGGGGCTCCCTACTTATATGCTGTATATGTGCACAGTGGTGATTTTCATGTCTTTTAAACTTGTGCTGACTGCGGGCTCCATCTCATTTTACCTCTTTTTTTTTTTAATCTAAGGTGTCAGATGATGAAGAACGGATGTCAGTGGGGAGCAAGAGCAACATACGGGTCAGTATCAGTCTAACTGTATTGCTCCTTTCAGACCTTCTGTACTCTGTGGGTCAGAGTGTATGGTGAAGGTACATGTGAGTGTGTTGCCTAAAGGTTATAAAACAGTCCAAATTGTTCTACATGCTGATGATGGTTTTGTTTGTCTGGGCAGTTGGATTTGGATGCGGCGGGTGCTTATGTCGGGGTAAGAATCGCAGGCTGGGAAATGTTTCTTCAGGCAAATGTTTCTTTATGTCATTACTTTTGGGTTCCTGTAAAAGTAAGATGAGCACATAACTGAGTTCACAAGACATTTTGTTTTTGCACTGTGGTGTGATTCAACTAAGTATAGCTAACACTTGTAATACCTGATGCTACATTTGTGATGTTTAGAAGCGTTTCATCAACATTACAAATGGGGTGTGATCTGTACTCTGGGTTTTAACAAAATATGACTGTATATGACAGTTAAATGTCTGTTACTAAGTGTCTGAAAACTTCACCTGCATGTCACAATGCACAATTATGAAGTGTTGAGCTGTAATTTCTGCCGTTTTAATCCTACTTCCATTTCCCACCATCTCATCCAGCTTCCCCAGGCCACCTCCTCTCACTCACATAAGAAGTCCAAGAAAAAGAAAAAACATTCTTCTAAAACCGTACGTTCACAGCAGTTATGCACATCGCATTTGTGTTCTATAAAGAGAGAATGTTATATCAATCATGACATATTGTCTTTCCACAGAGCAATGGCTATGATGATGATCTCAGCACATTGTCTAGTCGGGTTAGTGACCCAAATAACTGTGCAATGATAGTGTTTGAGGATTAATAGCGTGTTGATTCACCTATAATGAAGTCTAGGAGACTGTTTTGTTCACACGTTCGCAGTGATCATGATGCAGCAGTATGACTAACTGTGGTGTGATGTGCTACAGATTGGTGTGATGGTTGTAAACTGAATTCTGTGTATTTGTGCACAGAGCTCCAAACTCAGTGATGAGAGCAAAAGGTCTCGCTCCTCTAGACTTGATCTGCAGTCGGTGGGTCTCTCAATCCTGCATTTCTTTAACCTCCTGATTCTCTGGCCTGATTTCCTTGTCACTTTTTATGTTATTAACATGAAAATATGTCTAACATGAGTGGATGATTGCCACTGTGTTTGAGAAGGAATGTGTTTGTTTACGAAAACCCTAGTTGTTGACTAATTTATTTTAAATTTTTTGTAATCATCGGCATTGGCCGATAATTGTTGAAGACTTTTATTTTATTTATTTATGAATACTAGCTTGGCCCATGTGGGAGACCAGCTAAAACAAACTAGAGATCTTAGGCATTAGATTTCCTGCAGGGGTAACTTGAAAAGATAGTAGGTTTAACATGACTAATTACTAGAGGTGTGGTTCTAATGGTTTTATGCATGCGAATTGTACCAAAATTAAAGGCTTTTCATACTAAAACTTTGTCTTAGGGTAACATCTTTTTTTTTTAAATCTAGGGGTTAGTTCACCCAAAAATTAAAATTCTGTCATTTAATTACTCACCCTCATGTCGCTTCTGGGTTCTACGTCAGAACGTAGGCTCTCTATTGGCTTGCTCCTGGGTCATCACACACGACCAGCGTCGGCCAATAGTGAGCCTACGTTCTGGCGTAGAACCCAGAAGCGCTGCATTGTTTACACTACGTCAACAGCGTAGGAGAATGACATGGAGGAGAAGAGATTGTTGAATAAAGTCGTTATTTTTGGGGGTTTTGCGCACAAAAAGTATCGCTTCATAACATTAAGGTTGAACTACTGTAGTCACATGGACTATTTTAACGATGTTTTACCACCTTTCTGCGCCTTGAAAGTTGCAATGACGTTGCTGTCAATGGAGGGACAGAAAGCTCTCAGATTTCATCAAAAATATCTTCATTTGTGTTCTGAAGATGAACGAATGGTCTTACGGGTTTGGAACGACATGAGGGTGAGTAATGAATGACAGAATTGTAATTTTTAACTAACCCTTTAAAGCCACTTAGGTAAGCAACGATTCACACTTATTGTAAAAAGAGGTTAGCAGCAAGCTTATTCAGAGTAGAATGCTAAATTACTAAATTAAATGTGTGAAATCTCAACCCAGGGATTGTATAAACAGTGTAAAGCTGAAATAAGACAATTTATTTAAAATATCCTAGGTGAATGTTTTCAAGTGTGAAAAGCCGATGTAGTACAATTTCTAACTTTAGCTGGCATGATTCCCTTGCATTGCAGCTTTTCGTGTCGTCTTCATCAGTTCATCGTTCATTCCATCTACATTATTTCCCATTATTTTAGAGTGCCTACTCTTCATCTGAGTTGTACAACAGCAGTAGTAGTTATTCCTCTAAAGATCAAGTCCCTTCCTACAGTGGCTACCAGGTCTGTTATCTTCATCCTCTCCTTCCATCTCACTTAAAGGGTTAGTTCACCCCAAATTGAAAATTTTGTCAGTAATTACTCACCCTCATGTTGTTCCAACCCCGTAAGACTTTCGTTCATCTTCGGAACACAAATTAAGATATTTTTGATGAAATCTGAGAGCTGGATCACTTCTCCATAGGCTTCTTCAGGGATCGAAACTGGCCGGCCCAAAAGTTATGAAAGACATCGTTAAAATAGTCAGAGTGACTACAGTGGCTCAATCTTAAGTTTATCAAGCGACGAGAATACGTTCAGGCAGATGTCTTTCATAACTTTTGGGCCGGCCAGTTTCAATCCCTGAAGAAGCCTATGGAGGAGTTATCCAGCTCTCAGATTTCATCAAAAATATCTTAATTCGTGTTCCGAAGATGAACGAAAGTCTTACGGGGTTGGAACAACATGAGGGTGAGTAATTACTGACAGAATTTTCATTTTTGGGTGAACTAACCCTTTAATCTCTGTCCAGTGTTCAAATCCCCTCTTTTCTTGCACTTTAGCATTTGGAGCTTTCTTTTTCTTCAACCAAGTTTTGCTGTTCTTTGCCTTTTCGGTCTGTTTTTGATTTGACATGTTCATCTCTCCTGTCTGTTTAGCTCCCTTTGCTGCACAGCAGGAAGCACAGGGTTTGTGCTGCTCCTCATATTATACCCTCTGCCCCACAGCACTTCCTGTACAATAATATGTGCAGCTCTGCCTCTGTACACACATTTTACATGCTTTCACTCTCTCATCCACAGCAGGTCATGTAGGGTTATTAGATCTTAAACCCACACAGACCACAAACACCTGAGGACTGAGCTAATTGTTCGTGCTTTGGCTTTGACATACCATCCTTAAAGATGAAGTGTGTGATTATATATATTTTCCAACCTGGCTTCCTAAATACTTATTGAATATTTAATGTACTACATATTCAATGCCTACAATGCTTATTTCCTGGTAAAAACATTTTTTTAATTTGAATTATGATTAGAAAATTATGAAGCAATTTACTGTTTTAACAAAAATTCCTACATAGCTGTTATCTTTCTCTAACTTCCACCACTAGCTGAGCCAGAAGTTGACGTTTTAAAGGTGACAACTAGTTACAGTTGGAAGGGAATTCATTCTATGAATGGCTTACTTATAGAGGTCTCTGTTAATGGGATGAAAAAAACAACAACACATTTTTAATATATTGAAAAAATACACACTTCAGCTTTAATAGTTGTAGATTTTTTTCCCCCTCACCAGCCTGGCCGAAATCAGATGAAATTAAATCATCTGAATGTGATGAAAGACAGCTGTACTGATGCATTGTGCATAAAAGGAGAACTGGGACTAGAGAGTTTGCATGCTTACTTGCACAGAGCAGTTATGGGTCAGACCTTGAGGTGTGATATAAATGTTGTTTCTTGTCTGTGTGTCTATATCTGTCTATTATCAGGGCTCTATATATGAGGACAGTCTCTACAGTGGCTCTCGACGCTCCAGTGCTCGTGCTGTAAGAATAATAGAGCTAATGTGCATGAAATATTAGCCTATTAATCTATGGATTCAGTTCCCTAACCAAAGTGTGAGTTTTTAAAATAATTTTGCATAGTTGGCTCATTTATTATTTCACTCCCATGAAGCACTGCAAATGACGTAATCGAGTCAATCTCACTACACTCTCAAAATACTTAAATGTTTGTGATATTTGTAATACAAATTGTATACATTTGTAAATGAGTAGTTTTATGTTTCTCCATCATTTTTAATTTGAGTATGCAGTTTGTAATGCTTCATGGGATTGTTATGATAGTTCTTTCCCTCACCTAAAGCCGCTGAAAATTGGGGTGGGCGCTAATGCACTCTATTCTCAAAATACTAATTGTGTTCATTTTAACACACTGTGGAGAGTTGGTTGGAGAGACAGAGTTGTGTGCGTGTGTGTGTGTGTGTGTGATTTAGAGGCAAAAACAGGTTGTTTGTGTACAGTATCATGAAGAAGTCAAAATAAGGCTTTGAAAAGACTTTGAATGTGTTTTGGGAATGCTGTAAAGCTGAGAGTGCTTTATTCTTGTGTAGCTGATGCTTGACATGTCACATGACATTTTCTAATTTAATTAACATCAAAAATTATTTTAAGGGAAAGTGTATTTCAGGTGCTGTTTCATAATTTTTTTCATTTCATTATTTAATTGAATTAATTTGTCACTCTAAAACCAAAGTACAGAAATTCCATAGTATCTCAAATTAATAAATGTATGTATAAAAATCATAAAAATGAACAAAATGCTGTTTAGTTTTAGATGGAGTATAGCTTGTCACACTTCAGGTAATAAGTCAAATTGGTATTTCATATCAACTACCCATCTAGCACATTCAGAGGATCTACAAGACAATAACAGGCATGTGTGTTCTCAAAGTAGTTTGTCTACCAGCTTGCTTTTCTGAGTTTTGTTAGATTTGTCCCTTTTTTTTTCTTCATCTTTTTTTTGTTTTGAGAAGCTTGTAGATGTTTGGTGACTGCAAGAGGCCTGAAATATCTGTCAATCTCCAAACCTTTTTGTGTATATACATATCTCTTTTCTCTCTCTGTCTCTTATTCTTCACATACTCAGTGCAAGTGTGTGTGTTTCTCTAGTCCTCTGGATACAGTGGTTTCCTGGGCTCCAGCTCTAGGACTTCGTCCAGGGCAAATTCTGCGTGTGGCAGCCCTGTGGTGAGCAACCCGGTGTCACTGACTCCCAAGATGATCGTGGACCAACACAATTTTTTTTTCACAGTGACAGATTCAGTAACAGCTACTTTTACGTGGCTTTTGCTTTTAATGTCTCTTAAATCTGGTGCCTGTACAGTGTGTGTGTCATTGATTGTGGAAGTTTCTACTTGAGTCATGAATGTGCTTTTTGTCTTTCCATTAAAATGGTAAATTACATTTGATGTTTACATATTGAGTAGTATTAAATTACTTTAACAGTGTAAGAAAGCACTCCAGAGGTGATGTGTGTTTTTGTGCATTCCTCCTTTGGGTGCATGCAGAAAACCGACTGTTAAACTTGAGACTTAAATAGTTGAAATACCTCTCGCATTGATGTTAATTGCTGCTATCTGGTGGTTTCCAGGAGGACTGCAGCAGCTCAGTGGCTAGTTTTATGCGCAGCACAGCTAGTATCAGTGGCCTCTCTAAAGACCTTGACCACGTTGTCATTCCTGACCTGTCGAATGTTAATGGGAGGCTGCCTATGGTACGAGAGTGAAATCTTGGGGTTCATGTGATCTGTGGTGATTGATTGCCCTGGTTTAAAACGTGTGTGTATTTATTTATGCATAAAAGCAATGGCATGTTGGATTGAGATGATGGTCTGCATGTGAGATGGTCTGTGGTCATTTCAGCAAACTGAATTTATGTGAGGAAAAGCACTGAAGTCTTCCAGTGACATGATGTTTGATGGAACTTTCCCGTTGTTAATATTCTACTTCAAGTTTATTGTGAAAAGATATTTGCAACACCTTGAGAATTACTACAGAACTGCTTGCTGGTTGCATTTTGATTTATCAGTCTTATTAATCAAATACTATCATTGGGTTTTGAATCTTCTTGAACTTGAACTTCCTCTAATAAATAGAAAAATGTATTTTTTTTTGTGTCGACAGCATGTGTCACATGAATCACAATGAATGAATAAGAGACTTGTAATGACTCGACTTGACTTGCAAGACTACAACACCTATTGACTTTGTATCATTTTGTTTATTTACAGGTTGATGACAGGTCAGAGCGAGACTACTTAGAAAAGGTTTGTGATTTTGTTTAATTTGTGTAGATCATTCTCCAATTAGGCAAATTGTCATGGTGAGCTGTATAAACAATCGATATGACTTATGACCTGCTGTATTTTTAGGGCTCTTCACGAGCATCAACTATATCTGGCGCCACTCTTACCTCTCTGGGTGGGACATCCTCACGGAGAGGAAGTGGAGATACATCCATCTCTGCTGACACAGAAGCATCTATACGGGAAATCAAGGTGTCCTAATCTTTTTGTTTGGTGCCAGTTTAAATTTAGGCAGCAGGTTAAACACATGATATCAACCCATGACCACATACCTGCAGTAAATGCAATATTTATTCATTTATGTATTCATTAAATGTCATTATATTCCAAGTCTTTCTAGTTAACCTTTTAGTTTTGTTTGATATTTTGTATTTTATTACAGCCATACTTGTTCAGCTTGAGAATCTGATTTAAGATAACATAGCATTGCTCATTTTCATCACAGTACACTGTAATTTTCTTTCTCTGTTGCTGAGTCCTGTTCCTAGAGATCTGCCTTCCATCAGAGTTTAGTCTCTAATTAAACACACCTGAACCAGATAAGAGTCAAAATCTGCTAAGGGGCAATAAAATGTAGCAAATCATGTAAAAATGTATCATCTTTTATTGGAAAATTAATCAACATTTTTATCAAACATTGATAATTGCCTTAATCTTTTAAACAACCGGGAAGATAGTATTCAAACTACATTTTATAAAAAATCACATGTCAAGTTTATATATATTACATCATCATATGAGAGTCAAATTGAACAACTATACCAGGACTCAAGATCACTCATTTAACAGTTCATCTATTGCCAAAATTCTGGAAAAAGATCAGTCAAGAATAGAAAATAATCATTAAATAGTTCTTAAAGCATAGTTCTTACATTAAAAAAAAAAGTCTGTCAAAACCAACACGTTGAAAGATGTTCACTAACCCGGTGAAGGTTTTCAGTCTGCGTTTAATGCAGTGTGAAGCATTTCACTCCGTTCCCTGATCATTCCGATTCAATTTCAGCGAGTGAAAAATAAATTTATACTCATTTGCGTTATGTATTATGCATGTTACCGTCTCTGACAGATGTTGAAGCTGCTCAAGCCGCATCAGTGATGACACATTGAAAACATCAGGTAGTGTGGGTTTTCAAGGAAATGTATGTACTCGCTGAACCTCTGCTTCTCGTAAATACTGCCGTACATTTTGCACGTTATTTTCGGACAGACATCTATGTCGTGATATTCAAATGATGTGGATTTAAAAAAAAAAAGATGGATAGTCAGGTAATATTTTATTTCTTAGCCAGCAGGTATTCAGTGAAGTGATTGATCCCCATGAGTGTTACAGTGTGTCAATGTTTTTAGTTCTAATATTCCAACCAACAGCCAGCCTAAGTTTTTGACGGACGCAATGACGTGTGGAAGGAGTAAACTATGTTTGATTTTTGGGTAATTATAAAATGTGCTGGAGACATTTTAAATGCTTTTTGTGTAGTTCATTATACTTATGTTACATAATCATTATACTTATTTTACAGAAAGTCTATTTCATGGCTTAAATAAATGACATGTTACTCAGAGACTGACATGTTTGGCTTGTCAAAAATGTTACAATCAGCTGTCACAAATTCATTGACTTTTGAAAATCAAGTTAGTTTTTTTTACCAGGAAAGGAGGGGTTTTGATGCACAAAGTTTTATTGTCTCCTATAACAAAAATCTTTTATTTAAACCCATTAAAATGCAGATCCTTTTGTAAATTTTGCTCTTTTTTTAAAAAATTGTTGTTCCATTATTACCCCCTTTGCAGATTTTGATGTCTGTGTGTTAACTTTTCAGGAGTAGGACTGAGCACCTGCTACAATCTGCTTCTCTGTTTCTCTGTATTTTTTTGCTTTGTACTTTCTTGCACAGTAATTCATCTGAAAATAAGTCAGCTGTTCTTTACCTTTCCATTGCTCTTACTCCACTGCATTCTTTATCCTTCCTTTTCATTCTCACTCTTCATGCTTTCCATTCAGGAGATCCATGAGCTTAAGGATCAGATTCAAGATGTGGAGGCAAAGCACATGCAGAACCTCAAAGAGCTCAAGGTACATGTCTGGTAAAGACAGTGCCAGTAAAAACCCCAGCAATAACCTGCTTTATCTGAGTTACATATGACAAATTTGTGCTTTTTAATCAGCAAGTGGCTGACTGGAAACATGATGAAACGACGTGATATCTAGCCTCTGGTTCTTATCTGGCTCTCGTCTTGCATGTTTATACTTCTGTGTCACATGTCTGATTTCTCTGCCTTGGTTCCATCTTTGACTTGATATTTTTCTCCAAAACATATTGTTACACATCCTTCTTCATGATATTTTGGAATGTAGTCTAAAAGTGTGTTCATGGTTAATTTAGTTAGTATTTTGTAATACATGTTCAGAGGTGTGTTTGTGAGTGTACTGTTTTTAATATGGTGTCTGACTTTTTGAAGGATTCCCTTTTGGAAGTGGAAGAGAAGTACCGTAAGGCCATGGTGTCCAATGCACAGCTGGACAACGAGAAGACCAATATGATGTATGAAGTGGACACTTTAAAAGACTCTTTAATGGAACTGGAGGAGATGCTGTTTGAAACGCGCCGTGAGCTTGAGGAAAAGACTAAGGTCTGTAAAGTCAGGTGTGCATTATAGTAAATTGCAGATAAATCTGTTGTAATACATTGTCAAATAATTTATTAGAATAGATTCAAATAGTAAGTGCTTTTAATTGGAATTTTAATTAATTTATTAATTTGTATATTAATAAACTTTTTGTTATTGTTTGTAATTTCATTCTCATTTTTGTGATTAAAATACAAAAGTGTACACATGGTATATTCGCACTGTGTAAAAAACTTAATTTGAAATTTAAAGGATTTTTTTTAATGAAATAACTGATAGCAGTTCTATTTATTTTTCAGGACCTTGAACGAGAGAAGCATGCTCATAGTATACTGCAGTTCCAGTTCAGTGAAATAAAGGAAACATTGAAACAGAGTGAAGAACTGCTCACTGTGAGTATTGTTGTATTTATGTGTCTGTCATAAAACTTTAGTCTTTTTCAAATGCTTGGCTTCTGCTCATCTGCCTGAACAATTTCTTCCCTTCCTTTATATTTGGTCTTCTTCCATGCATAATACCTCTTTCTAGGAGATCCGTCAATTACGGCTCAAGCAAGACGGCTTTGTTAGGGAGATTTCTGACCTCCAGGAAACTATTGAGTGGAAGAATAAAAAAATTGGGGTATGATCCCTCAGTATCCAACTCCTGTTAAAGTTTTATTTGGTTTACCTTCACGTTAAGATAATTATAATTTCACCTTTCAAACACATATTTGCTTGATTCTACATCCGTTCCCTGCTACAACTGTCTGTACTTTGCCAAACTATTCTCATTCATTCTTCATTTCATTGGTTTCATTGCTTTCTCCTTTTTCTCCTCTTTACTGCATCTTTGCCCTTCTGGTGCTGTTCAGGCATTAGAGAGGCAGAAGGAATTTTCTGATGCCATTCGAAATGAGCGGGATGAGCTCAGAGATGAGGTTGTTCAGCTCAAAGATATTTTAAAGGTATTGATATGTGTGGTGAAAAATAGGACTCATTCTTTTCCCATTAACTTTTCCTAACAGAACAAATATTTAGCATTTTTTTGTAGACAGACCTTCTTGACTTGATACTGCTCAGCTTTTTATTGATATTTATTAATATAAAGGTACTAAGATCCAGAATATAATATAAATCGATAAATCGATTCTTTAACACTCAACTTCTGACTGAATGAACAGAATATATTATATTAGAATGTTATCATACTTTTGGTGCATCAACAAATACAGATGCGTTTAAAAATAACTTTGGTCCTGGGAAGCCACTGTCCTGCAGAGTTTAGCACCAACCCTGATAAAAAAACTCGGTTGGAGCTAAACTCTGCAGGAGTAAACTAAGTATACTAATATTAAATTGTTTTTCTGTACAGAAACATGGCATTGTCCTTGGACCCGACTTGGCCACCAATGGAGAAACAGGGGAAGAAGCTGAACAGAATTTTCAAACCGCATCAACTGAAATCCGAGAGGGGAGTAGCGTACTAGGTAAGCTGCTTTTCTTAATGTCATTCATTGCATGCTTACATTACTTTATCTTTGCCATTTTGCATTTTCATCTTGTAGAGCTTGAGCCAAATGCAACTAAACTGTTTCTATGAACCTGGTACAAATGCACTGTTACATTAACATCTCTCACACTTTCCTGTTTCCCTGTATTCACTTTGCATATACAACTAATTAATGGCATATAATGAACCAAACACTACAGGATCTTGTCTCTTTCTTGAGTCCATATTTCAATATTCTGCTGGACAAGTGTTTATCAAATTGCTGCAAATATTTACTCATTCTTGACTTTGAAATCAAAATCAAGAGATGGATTTGCTGAGTAGTTTCTTCGTTCTTGACTTTAAGCTCTGGGGTTTTCTTTTTTGGGACATCCTTAAACACATTTGATTTGTATAGGTTTAAGAGCTTTGCCTTGGAGTCTTGGTTTTTCCCTCCTTTCCTTCTTCCTTTTACTTCTTGCTTTTAAACATTTGCAAGATACTCATTGGCTTCAACAGACGCATTAATTCTGGCTTTAACTACTGACACCTCCATCATCTCCCAGGCACTCATCAGTTGAAGCCATGTAAAGACCAGCAACAAAAAGATTTGGATGACAGAATGCAAGGGAATCAACAGTCTTCACATGCCCATTTCAGTTCTACAAAGACAGCTTTAGAAGCAAATGAGAATGGAGACCTTGGGGACCAAATTAATCAGGGTGTAGGGCAGCTTAAAAATAGACCTGAAGAACCTCCGATTCCGGTTGGTGATGATGAACTCACTGCAACAAGACCCAAGGAGAAGATCAAATCTGAAGCACATATTCCGAAAGATTCAAGATATACTGAAGAATTAGAGTGCAAAGTTCACAAGGATGGACTTATGGAAACAGATCAACAAGAGAGCGAATTTGTCAAACCTAGTAAGGAAATCAAAGAGGAAACCCATTTAGAGCCTGTCTCTGGTTCAATCCATGATGAAACTGATAAATCTGGTGAGGCAGTGATTGATGATCAACTCAAAGAGGAGTCTGTGGAATCATCTCAAGTGGAGAAACTTCCCAAAACACAGGGTGCCAGTGCTTCCAATAAAAAGAAGAAAAAGAAGAAGAAAAACAAACAGAAGCAGAAACAAAGTGACAAGCAAGAGAGTGACACAAAGATGGATGACAAGAATGAAATGGTTTTGAGTGAAGACAATCCAAACCAAGAAGTGGAAGGTGATCTAGAAGAAAAGCATGAGAAGCCCTTAGGGAATGACATATGCGAAACAACCATGAATACTGATGTCCCACATGGTGATAAAGGAACCAATGAATTGGACTGTATCAAAATAACACACACAAATATTAATGCTGATGATGCTCAAGACAGAATTCAGTTAGTTACAGATGAAGCTGATTCTGCAGAAATTTCTAAAACCATCACAAATTTTGATTGCCCTGAATCTAGCAATGGTGTCCTTTCAGATGATCTGTCCAACAATATTATATCTAACCCTGCCACCATTATTGATGACCACACTGAGGATTTGACAAATCCTGACACAGAACCTGTAATCTTCAGCAGTGAGCGTATGCCTTCAGAAACAGAGACTTTACTGCCTCATGAACCTTCTGCTCAGCCCATGTATACTGTTGGAGTGTGCATTGAGTCCATCAGCAGCTCTGAGAACATTGAGAATTCTTCATTGGTAGGTGTCAAAGAAGAGAAGAGTCAGCTGGACGGTGAAGTAGAAGAACAGAAGGAAAGGCTCCAAAATATCACTCTAGATTGTGACACTAACTCTAAAGATCAAGATAATTCTGCTCATTCCTCTTCCCCTGTGATGATGGAGAAGTTGGAAAACGAAGCTGAAAAGGTAATCCAGGAACAACCTATTGATCAGCCAATGGAAAGTCAACTTCAAGACAGTATTGTAGCAGACGTGGACCAGGAAGAGGTTGAGACACAAGATGAACCAGATGAAGAAAACCTTAATTTGCCTAGTGAAAAAGTGTTTGATGGATGCCAAGTTGACGACACTCCTTTAATTGAATCACAGATTCAGGTTATACATGAGGATCACCTGTCTGCCAGTGAAGCAAATCAGGAATCAATTGTAGAGTCAGAAGCTTCTGACCAAGAACCCAAGGTAGAACATGTCCAGGAGGAAAGATCAAACCAAGATCAGGTTACACTTAATGTGGAACTGCCTGAAGATGAGGTTGACCCTCAGGTAAAGTCAGATGTGGTTCTTCAAGAGCTCAAGGAAAAAGATGATGGTGAGGAAGACGAAGGAGAATCATTTGATTTTGATGAAATGGATCTTGAAGCATCATCAGGTGCCCCTTTAAAAAACCTTCTAGATCATTCAAATGAGGACTCATTGTTAAAAGAGATTGCACAAGAAGCAAGCCATGAATACCAAAGGAATGTCAAGGATGAGGGCCAGATTCAAGAAGATGAACATCTGGAACATGCAGATAAGGAATCAACGCCAACGGAGCATAAAGATGATGGTCATGCCACAGAAAACCCACAAACAGCAACAGATGTAGAAAGATGTTTAACAGAAGAAAACCGTCAAACCAACAGTGAAGTCAGACCTAATGATCAGCAGCATGACAGACCTGATGCATTTGAGGAGCATCACCAGGCATCAGGAGATGTGACACTCAGTAAAGGGGTTAATGAAAGTTCAGAGATGGAGACAAGAGATGTAGGCCAAGAGATCAATAGCTCCATTCACCATGAAAACAAGGCATCAAATATTTCTGAAGAGCTGGAAGCCACAGGGATCAATAAGGAAAATGATAGAAAAGAATCTAAAAAAAGTGGAAAAGGGAAAGGAAAGGGCAAGGGGAAAGAAGAATGTAAAATGTCTTAATACAAGGACGTTGCTGAGTGAATTCAAAAGTTAACATTGCGCTTGTTGGTCCTAATGAAATTATTTTGGGACCATTACTTCGGAGAACCCTAGAAAACCAAAGTTATCACACAGTCAAGCCAGATTATCAGTCATCACAGCTGTTTCAGCAAGCACATTTTATACATGAATATTTCACATCTGAATAACAATACTGAATGAAATCTGGAAATTGTCAAATAATGTCAAATCTAAAGAAAAAAACATTAAATGCTAGCAGTAATGGGGGTAATGTGTCATATTTATTTAGAAATTTTACATAATCATGAAAAAAATGTTTTTTTTATAAGAATAAGTGATTAATAATTTTTTTTCTGTTTTGGAAACTGTCTATGCTGCGGTCATGATTAGAATTTACAGTTTTTTCTATTGCAAAGGACCCAGAATGTACTTTGTATGTTGTTAAAATGGGTGGCATGTTCCAAATGTGGTAAATAAAAAATGTTATTGTGTGCCAATCCTATTAAATATTCCTCTAAGGAGCGTTGTGGTTGCGCTTTGTTTTTCCAATACATTTTTTGGGAGATATGATTGAAAACAAATATTTCATTTTAATTCTGTTTGGTGAAGATTGTGTTGGAACATTGAAACATGTATGTTAAATGAACATCTATGTTCAAATAAAATGAATAAATTAAAAATAGATAATTGTTGTTTAAACTATTGTTGTTGATTGTGTTAGTTTAATATTTTATCATTTAATTTCCCAGCTAACTGAATAAGTTTTTTTTATATAATGTTAGAGGACATTTAATTAAACTGTTTCAGATAAGTATACAAAAGAAACTACAGTCAAGGTTTATTTTTTGGGTCATGACTTTTAGGGAGTTTTTGTTTGATGCCAGATCACACTCATTTGCATAAGCTCAAGTAAGCTCACAATCATGGAAAATACTGACATGTAATAGCTGTACAGTTGAGTGAATGCTGAGAGAATTGACTGCATGAGGCTGAGGTCACTTAGGTTTCTGCATGTTGTCCATCCTCATCCTTCACATCCCAGCATAGGATAGCCTCACTTTTGCATGCCCTGACTCCTCCCCCTCCATGCCTTTGGCTCCTCCCACCACTGGTATGTGAAAAATTTTCTGTCTAACCTTGGTGTGTTTTAAGACATGAATGTATTTTATTATTGCAGAATACTTTTTTGTTTTTACATTTTACTAGATTTGTTACCAAATTGTGAGTTTAAGTACCCTAAGGTGTTATCATATCCCTCCCCCAAACAAAAACTGCAGGAAAATATAACATTTGTTGTTGTCTTATAGTCAATCTGTTGCACTTGCTTTTCAGAAATTCGTTTGCGAAAACTGGTTGATGAGAGGGAGAACTTAATAGAGCAGGTGCGTATCTGGCAGTTGCTTACTTCACACTCGCTTTGTCCTCATTTTGTGCCGTCACATGCATCTATTTTTTTTTCCAGGTTAAGAGATTGAAAGGTCAATTTGAGCAGAAGAAACAGAATAATGGCATGGAGGACGCATCCAGCCCAGAGGGGGACGTGCTGGAGAATGGTGCTGACTCCAACATCATGGATATACAGAGTAAGGAAATGCCTGCACTCTCAATCAGGTTCAGGGTAAAAGTTTTGGAAACTTTTCTCCAGCTCAAAATATTCATTACATAATTAACAATGATTTTTAACAGGTTTGGTTCATAGTTCAAGAAAGTAAGACTCTCATCCTCAGCTGTTGAGAAATGTGTAATTGTTCCTTGTTTCAGGGGATGCCAACAGGCAAGTCAATGACCTCAAATTTAAGCTTGTCAAATCAGAGCAAGAAGTCACAGCACTTGAACAGAATGTGAGTTCTTTTAATATATTTTTTTTATATTTGTATTAGTGTTGTTTATATTTTTAACACATTTTACTCTTCTTAAAATATGAAATAGTAAATACAAATTTGACGGTTTTAATTTAAACTCATTTTGTAGGTCACAAGGCTCGAGGGTCAGGTGACCCGGTACAAAGCTGCATCTGAAAATTCAGAGAAGGTGGAAGACGAACTCAAAGCTGAAAAACGCAAAATGCAACGAGAGGTACAATAGCCTAATAGCACTGCTTTCATCAAAATAACAGACAAAGTCCTACTTATATGTACATAATCTACATATAATAAAATGAATGACTTGCTCAACTTTGCTTCATGGCAGTTACGATCTGCATTGGACAAGATTGAAGAGTTGGAGTCTAGTAACAGCCACCTCTCAAAAAGGCTGGAGAAGATGAAGACTGGCCGAGGAACAGCAGCAACTCCCTAATGGTTTCAGATCTGTCCCATAATCTGCCCAAGTTCACCTCCACTGCCTGTCCATTTCCCATTGGGCAGCTTCCAAAAGAGCTCGCTGCTACATTACATCCTGCAACCGTGCCATTTCTTCCTGTTTAAGTTGAGTTCTTCATCTTTGGAGAACCCAATCAGGACTTTTTTGAATGATGCAGGACGACTCTTAGTGTGGCATGTTCAAAAGCACAAACACTGTAGTTCAAAAAGTTAGAATGCTAATTGTCTCATTTGAATGTTGCTAATATGACTGAATTTATTCAAACCTAACGTGCAAGGCTGCCTGAGATTATTTGTAGAAGGATCTGAGAAGTTATGCTTTGGAATTTTGACTGTGAAGATCAGGACGTGATCAGGAAGTCTGGGTGGTCGTTTGTTTTAGGTGTATAAGACACCTGTTGCTTCACAAAGACAAAAGATAAGTATGTGTGATGCTTTTATGTGTTCCACTCAGATATTTTATTAACACTGGTTGAGTTAGCTCTTCCGTATTTATCTGAATCCAAAGTTTCTGGAATATTGAGGTCACACAGCTGGATTTTGCCATCTGTGTTATTTTATTTTGTGTTCCTCTAATGAATAGTCTATAATGGTCTTCCTATCATGCTGTTCCCTACATGTCAGAACGACTGAATTGATATAAATGAAGATGAATACTGATTCTTAGTGAATGTTATTGTTGTATTGGTGCTGACAATGCCACCCAACAGAAACACATTGATCAGGAATTTGTTCAAGGATTTCAGGCTGAGCAGCAACAACTCTTGATGTTGTAACTGCCTTTGACAAGATTTAATATTCAACCTCCAGGTGATGAAGATTGAGAGTCATTCTCATGTTTTCCAAACCATTGAAACCAATTACAAGAAATTCTGTGATCAGAAGCATTAATTGTTGAAGACTGCTGTAAATCACAAGCGCAATTTATTACCACCAGCCCGGATGAGAGGCGGTTCCACCCAGTTTACAATGCTTTAACGTGTAGGTTAAATTTATGAACTGTTATCTGCAATAAAATGTCAATTTTAATTTAAACAGTTTGTCCATGGTCCATATACACATTCTCCTCACCACTCTCAGATTTCCTTTGACAGCGATGGCACAGCAAAGTCTTAATTTGGCATTTCCAAGTGTACAGCTCAATTTAGTCTAAATGAATAACTATTTAGTGTCTAAATCTTCCTGTGCCACCTCCATAGGTTGCCTAATGTACGCCCGACTTTGAATCCGCGACACCATGCGGCGAGCATAGAAATCCCGATACTCAGGTGGCAGTTCTTCTAAGATGCCTAGAGTCCTTTCCAGTGCCTGCAGCGCTCGAGTAGCTGCTACTGGGTCTTTGTTTCCATATGGATCTTTCTTATCATAACTCTCAGGTGGAAGATGCTTCCAGAACACGTTGACACCAACTCCAAACTGGAGAGCCAGGGTATTGTGAAACCAAAGAGCTGAGGAAATGCAATTCAAATTTCATTACATTAAAATAAATTGCTATTCTTTGAATGCAATTATTTCAGCCTTACTTCAAGTTATGAGTGCTGTGTGAAAGTATATATTAGTTTAACTAATTGGCGCGGGTAAAGAATCCTACCTGGGATGAAGAGCAGGTCTCCTGGTTCCAGAACACACTCGTAGCGGCACGCTTTCACAAACTCAGGATAACGTTGCAGATCAGGAGTGTCGATGTCCAAAACTTCAGACTTGTCCCCTAAAAAAATTACAATTCAACAATTATGCAGATGCATTTTACCGATTTAAAATCTAGTAGATCCAGCTTTCACACACATAATATTAATAACATTTTATATTCTACACATAGTTGTCATTTGTAAAGTACAGGATCACCTGTAAGGTAGAGATGAAGGGCATCTTTGGGGCTGTAGAGAACAACACGCTTTCGTCCTGTAACCTGAGCTAGAAGGTTGTCCATTATCTGATGGTAAACATTAACATTAGCCGCCATAAGTCAAGAGTGCTTAAAAAAATGTACAACTTTACAAGAAACTGCATGGTTACATTTTCATTGTCTGTCTTTCTGCAAAAAAGTGACACAACTTATAGTTATGTAGAACTCACATCATAGTGCGTCCACAGCTGTAGACCAGGGGAACTAATACGAAAGACACTGGAGAAAAACTGCTCCGGCTCAAAGAACTGGGGTATATAGAAGTCCTCTGCCAGCTCAGGGAACTGCTTCCTTAAATCAGCAGGTTCCTCAAAGGGAAAAGACAAGAATATTTTCTAGGCATTCTACAGTGAATATACTGAGGCATATTACAGCTTTTTTCGAATGAAACTCTACAGTCCCAAACAAGTAGGATATTAATTTCTAGTTCAGACTACCTTACGAACATCATCTCCAAGTGAGCGCAAGTAATAGCTTTCATCCTGTTGGGAAAAAGAAAATTGTGTTTGGCTCACAAAAAAACTTGTGGGCCATAGCAAAATGATAAATAAATAAAGAATACCGGTATCAAAGTATATGAAAATGTGTGAAGCCAGAACTACTTCCAAGCTTTGGAATTTAGCTTTAGAATTAAGTGGCACAATGCAATACATTTACACTTAAATATAATATTTGGATGTTGAAAAAATCTTACAGAATATACTTTTTTTTTAAAACACCTTATCACTGCACTTTTTTAAAGATTAAACATTAAAGGTAACTAACCTGACTAATGAAGAAATCAGAGTGTTTCACCTCTACAGCTCTCTGAATAAACTTGTCAAATGGCAGTGTCCTGAAATAAAGAATAATGTTTTTAACTTGACACAGTTTTTGTTGGACTCGTGATCTGTGTTAAATCACACACCTGTACACAAAGTTCTTATGCAGAAAGTCCATCCTGGGCTCTGGGGACACGTGCACTTTGACCTCGCGGTCTCCCCCTTTTTCTGCAAGATAACTCACCGTCCATGCGCGCACACAGGGCCCCAGGGGCACGCGCTTTAGAACCACTGGTCTGCGCTGAACGAGACACGTGTTTCATTTACACGCAACACACTCACAACACCGCAACAAATTGCTGTTATTATACATAACACGAGTTACCAGAGGATATATGTCCCTCAAGAAAGTCTCTCTGTCCACATCGCTGTATACGGGCACCTCCAGCTTTTCCTGACAGTCCATTTCTGACAATCTGAAGTTGACTCCGAGTCCATTAGCTGCACTCTTTCGCCTTCCGAAACTGAAAGGAAGTCCGACTCGTTTCTACGAGTCGACTCTTTCAAACAGTTAGTTTCAAAGAATCGGTTAAAATTTCTCTTAAAAATGCTCTAACTTAAATCACTCAAGTAAAGCCACGTAGACATATATTGTTGTTTATTACTGTGTTTTTACATGGCGGTTTTATTCATAATGGTGGTTAAATGAGTAGGTGAGTTGTTGACCCGAGAAGAACCTCTCAGAACCATTCAGTCTGATTCATTAACGAATCGCTGAGCCCGTTTTGAGAACCGATTCAAATGATTCATTTAAATAAACCGACTCAAAAGAACAATTTGTGAACAAATTGGACACCGCTACTTGGCTACTAACATGTGTTCAACGTATTATTTTTACAATCAACACACATAATATACATTTCATTAATTTAAATAGAGTGTAAGATTGTTTTGTCTGAACAATACTGATATAGTGTTGAAATCCGTTTTATTTTTCTGTAAATGTGGAACTTTTCTCTCTTTTGTATGTTGTCAGTCGGATTCCCCTAACAGACGGCCCACTGAGGACGATGGGAGGAGAAAGATGGCGCTGCCCTTACTGAGGTGCTGTAGCTGTAACAGCCCCGTTTCCATTTTGATCCGGTACTTTACATCAAAGCCGCTTTTAGTGGGTCAGTCCAGACGACTCGCACCCGTATCGTCTTCTGTGTGTAGTGTTCGTCAGTACAGCTCTGAACGGGGGAGACACAAACAGAACCAAAAAGTTGTGGTTGTCGGCATCCCGAACCCCTTCATCTGGTTCCGAACCCGCATCTACTTCTTTCTTATCCGAACTTACTTCGACAAAGAGTTTAGCATCGAGGAGTTCTCGGAAGGAGCCAAACAGGTGAGTTATGCAATATGTGTCTCCTTTATGTAATGTCATCACATCATGAACTAAACCGACGGCGTGTTTTTTTCCCCCCTATTGCCGACGACATGTTATGGACACTAAATATAAATAATGTTAGCGAAGTTATATAACTTGTTCATAATAATTATGGACCAAAAATGAACGTCTTAATTGATAACATTTTTTAAGACTCCCTCCCTCTCTTTTAGGCATTTATGTAAGATTTATTCTTTATGAATGAACATACCAAAAAAGATGCATGTTTAATTGTAAATTTCATTGTATTTTTAGCCTATATCAACAAATGCCAAATTGTAAACCTTATTTCACATTTTGTAAAGGATGTGGAGCGTTACGTTTATACCATTTCTAAATCTCAATAATAACAAAATAAAATGTTTTTTTTTTTTAACTTTCTTACTTGATCTTTCTTTCTTACTTGATCTTACTTACTTTATCTTATCTCAGACCTGCAAACTTGTCGCTTTTCGGCGATAATCGCCGTTTTTTTGGTCAATTGGGTCATTCACGTGAATCGCGTAGAACCGGAGAGTTTTTTTTTAGGGGGGGGGGGGGGGGGGGGTAGGCTGCCCTTCATCTGCATACAGGCAGGCTAGAATTGCGAAACATTATTGGATACTTCTTATAATTGACATTTCTCTGGGCCAATCGGAATCTTAGTACTTTTTCTCTTGGCCAATCGGAATCTTAGCACTTGCGTCAGAATCGATGAGACACCTGGCTACTACCACGCGAGTCTGATGGAAACTCATAACGTGAAGGAATCTTATGTGAAATTCGAGGTAAATCAAACTTTTTTTTTTTGGAGCAAAAACAACAGCTAGTTGTTTGCTTGATTCAATTAACGTTAGCTACCGCTTTGTTATGCTGCGCTCGTGACAGGGCGCTGAAAGAACGAGCATAGAGAGAGCCGGTCGCGCGCGCGCACTCTCACTGTATTCAAACTGCCTTGCTCTCCCTCCATCGCGCATATTAATCAAAATCTATTGAGAATTGACACTATAGTAAAAGATCAAAAGACCAAAGTTTCACGTGGAGCATTTTCAGAGATTATTTTTCCTGAATTACCGCTAGGTGTGAATTGTAGCCTACTAAAATTGCCCTATCCTCTCTGAAAAGCGTTCCGCACATTCGGCTGACATAAACCACATTTTGAATAAACAAAAAACCTATCCAGTGATTAAATGTTTTCTGTGTAGACACAAATCTTGTGCGATGTCCTTTAGTCCTTATCTGCTAGGATAATCACACAACGCGTGCCGTGTGTGTCAGCTAATGGCACGTCCGATTCGCGAACTAATGACTCATTTGAACCGATTCACTTTCATGAATGGTTAAAATAACTGATCTGTCCAACATCTCTCTTCAAAAGAGATCTGAATCGGTGTATAACAAATCGATAACACCAAACTAGTTAATATTAACTATTCATAAACTGCACTTCTTAATCTTTATAAATAAATAGCATTTATTAACCCTTTATAGGGCACTCATTGAAATACTTGGAAATTCTAAATTTCAACCATAGAGTGTTATTGGAGGATATTATAAGACTTCTAAACATTTGTGAGTTTTTTAAAAAATATATTTTTTTAGGTTGGAAATCAAGGGCAATGAAGTTACCATATATGGTTCCTCGCCAGTCTAGGGTAATTTTTTTCCCCTTAAAAAGTGTATATATAAAAATATAATAAAAACACATAAACTTGTTACAAACATAAAAATATTTATTTAGGAACATTTTAAATTATTATTAGGTACATTTTAAATTAAATTACACCTCTTGGCAGAGGGGCCTATATCACTCTGGCCTGGAGTGTCTAGGTTGTGGGTGGGTGGGAGGAAGTCAGGGTCTGCCACATCATCATCTTCCTCCTCACAGCCCTCATCATCACTGATGCTGGGGTGGGCTGGCACAACTGTCTCCCTCTTGCCGTAAAAGATTTGCGTAGATAGCTGCAAAGAACAGAGAGTACATTTTTGAGTCAATATCAAGCCCAGTTTGAGTTATTTGTTGAGTAACAGTGAAGTGCAGATCTACTGAAATATAAATAAGAAGAAAAAATAAGTGAGTAACATTGGACTGGTCTGTCATAATATATGTAAATATATAATAAGAAGTGCAAAATATCATTATAAGTATTAAAAATTGTTATAAAGGTCATAAAAACTGACCAAAACCACACCAAAACCACACATATTTCAATATCTAATATGGCTTGAAAATGTCTATAAATGTGTTTCGTTTCCCACTGGATCACTTTATAATGTTATTCAAACCTGTGATACATCCAATGCACTAGTAAATACTATTGTCCTACATTATAATCATAGACTGTGGTTATAATGCAATTATTTGTAGAAAAAATACCCTAGTACAAGCTTTTCTATACCATAGGGCGTATGTCTAAATATGGTCTTCCTATCACTTGCGCTAATCTTACGTGACAGGGGCGTATGATCAAATATGGTCTCACCATTTTTCATGCCACAAATGTCACTACTTTCAAGAAATCTATGCAAACAACACCTATCTCAACATGTTGCACAACTATTCAACCATAGAATGTGTGAGTTTCATCAACTTACCATTTTTTGTTTTGAAGTTATTAGCGCTGATGTGGGAGTAGGTAGTAGCGCATAACCTCACATTCCAATAACCGGAACGACACTGAAGTTTGAAATGCTCCGCGCAACTTCTGATTGGTCAGATGCCATGGTGTGACTATCAGTGACGTAGCCTGATCTTCGCTGATTGGCTAGGAGAAATATATTGCGCTCATACGACAACGGCAAACAGGCAGGGGAGAGTCAGTTTGAATGCGCGATTAAAGTTACCAAATATGGTTCTCGCCCGATAAAGGGTTAATCTTTGGTAATGTTAATTTCACTATTTACTAGTAGCCTTATTACAATTAAAAGTTCTATTTGTTAACATTAGTTAGCTAATGCACTGTGATGTTATATGAACAAACAACGAACAGCTGTATTTTTATTAACAAAGATAATAAATACAGTAACAAATGTATTGCTCATCATGGTTCATTTATATTTTACTGCCTTTTTTCTCCTTTGACAATCCTATGATAATTTTATACAGTATAGTGTTCATCCAGAACAACATGTAACTGTGTAACCACACCCTAGCAACCGTTTAAAGCTACCTAGCAACCATATTGCTTACATATAGAAGCCATATTGCCAGCTCCACAACATCGTTAAGACATTGTTGTTGGCTCGTATGCAATCATGTACAACATTGTAGCAACTATCCTAGCAACTGCTCAGCTTTGCTGCTCAGTTGCTAGGATAGTTGCTACAATGTTGTACAAGCACCCAACACCCCCCCCCCCCCCCCCCCCCCCCCCCCCGGCAACACTGTCCACCTTTTTTACTCTGAGGAGTTTGCAGGTCTGTATCTTATTTGATCATTTTATCATAATTTTTATTTGTGAACTGTTTACTGTTTTGAGTTACATGATGATTTAAACCGAATATTAAAACATGTCATTTCTCTCTCAAGGCTTTCTCACACGTTTCAAGATTGCTGTCTCAGTGTCAGTTTGAGTCTCTTGAGGGATTAGTGGCTAAAGATGTAAGTACATGTCATGAAGAGAACAATTATCCTATTATTTTCCCGTTGAAGATTATTTAATGTCAATAGTATATTATGTTTATATAATATACTCCTATAATACATATTATTTATATTCTCTCCCATAGCTAATAGAAAAACTTGAGGAAAAATGCGCTCATCTGCCTTTGAGCCACCAGAGGGCGCTGTCAGCCGAGTCTGATGAGATCATGTACACAACTACTGGAGATGTGGGCATTTACTATGATGATAGCGGTGAGACCCTATAAGCTTCATACCACGCAATATTCGCCCAGGTAATATGTTTAATTATTATTTGTGGGCGAGTAATTTAGAAAAAAAAGTAGCTTTGTAGCGTGCATCCAGCATATTTTCCTCCTTTTTATCGGACTGGTTCTTATGAAAGCCAATTTAGGTTACTCGCCCCCAGTTTCACAGACAAGGCTTAAGCCTAGTCCCAGACTAAAATGCATGTTTGAGATGTTTTTACTGAAAGCAACTTGCACTGAGATATCTTAAAATATGTCAGTGTCAT